GAGCATATCTGGGTTATCTGTGCTGTGATCCGCAATCGCGGTTACTACCTAAAACAAAAAAATTCACCAGCGCGCTTCCCTGGAAGAGAAACTGACATACTCACCCTTCCCGTGCCCCCGAGAGCTGCTATGGCTGCAATCCCTCGAGTTTTCGGACTCTTCACTGGAGTCCCATAAGGGGACAAAAATGATAGTGGAGCCAAACCCTCCATCCCGTTTACTCGACCTCGTATCCAATCCTGATCCAAATGTGCTATCACTTGTATTGTATCTCCTAAACAAAAAAAAAACGATCTTATGGTGTCAACTGTAAGCTCCGCCCACATCTACCTACCAGCTTTGAACTCCAAATCACCAGCTACGCCTGACGAATAGTCGTAGGCAGCGGTCATCTGTTCTAAGGGTTGAGACTGGGTCACAGGCTGTGCCAAAGGCAGGTTATTTATCCCGGGACAGGAGACGAAATTTGCGGGGAAAATTCCTTCTCGACCATTTAACCTTCCTCTCAGCCAATCAGGACCAACTCTTTCGGTTGCTGTGATTTGATCATTCACTCGGAACTGAAAATATGGCATTGTACTTCGGTATAAGATTTAAAAATCCAAATAGTCAATCACTACATACGGACAGATCTCCGGGAGTATCAGACTGAAAATCGTAGATAGCAGTAGCTATAACTTGGTTAGATGAACCATATCCAGAACTCAATGGCACTCGAATATCCAAAAATGATAGTGGAATGATACCATGAGCACCCGTACGATTGTTCATACCTAAATGTAGAAATTTCCGACAAAAATTCATTTCGTCGAAAGTCTAACCCTTACCGTAGATCCATTGTTCGTCGACGTCACGTTTCAGAACAACGGTGTCTCCAGCTGCACACGACAGTTCATCGACATGAGATCCGTTAAAGGAGTATTTCGCGATAGCATGCGGTTGAGACGGTGATACTGCTGCAAAAAATCATATAGGAACTTTTTTGAAGGGTTATGACATATTTTCTAGAGCCATCTGATATCCAATTTGGAACGAAATGCTCAGTTACCGTTACAAAGTAAAAAAACTAAGGTTATTTCAAAAACAAGGCGAGGCGGGGCTCACTGCAAAGAGCATAGCGTTCGCGTTGCGATGCTGATGCGAGACATATTCAATTATTTTATGAAACAAAGCATGTGACAAGATAAAGACTTCATTCCCTGAATTTAATGTAAGAATGGAGTTA